ATATACATACATATATATATACATATACATACATATATATATACATACATATATATATACATATATATATACATATATAAATATATATATACATATATAATTTTGGTCGGCCGGCCACTCCTGGGAAGGTTCACCACTGTTCCATGTTTTCGCCATTTGTGGATAATGGCTCTCACTGTGGTTCGCTGGAGTCCCAAAGCTTTAGGAATGGCTTTGTAACCTTTTCCAGACTGATAGATCTCAATTACTTTGTTTCTCATTTGTTCCTGAATTTCTTTGGATCGCAGCATGTCTAGCTTTTGAGGATCTTTTGGTCTACCTCACTTTGTCAGGCAGGTCCTATTTAAGTGATTTCTTGATTGAGAACAGGTGTGTGAGAACAGGTATCAGTAATCAGGCCTGGGTGTGGCTAGAGAAATTGAACTCAGCTTTCCAAAGATGTGATAAACCACAGTTAATTTATGTTTTAACAGGGGGGGGCAATCACTTTTTCACACAGGGCCATGTAGGTTTGGATTTTTTTTCCCCCTTAATAATAAAACCTTCATTTAAAAACTGCATTTTGTGTTTACTTGTGTTATCTTTGTCTAATATTTAAATTTGTTTGATGATCTGAAACATTTAAGTGACAAACATGCAAAGAAATCAGGAAGGGGGCAAACACTTTTTCACACAACTGTATATATATGTATATGTATATATATATAGATATATATATATATACCTTAGCTATATTCTCAGCTGATGCGTTTCATTCAGACTCTTGAACACACGTCTTCATTCAGAGCTTTAACGAGGAAGGAAGATAGACAAGACTTTTGATTCTCTACTCTTTACATCTTTACGCTCTAAAAAATCTTGATTTGTGTAATTGAAACGGCATCAGAACAAGACATTATCCCTCTGAGACCAGGTCCCATGGTGGACTTCTTCTTCTTCTCTACATGATTTATACGCTCTCTGCTGGTTTGATGGTGGGAATCAAACGTTTACTGAACGATTGTTTTTTTACGTGGTCTCGTCTCGGTGTTGCTGCTGGATCGGGTCTCACTGGTCGCAGGGGTCGGCCACCCTGGCGGTGAACAGCAGGGCATTGATGGTGGACTCTCTGATGAGCAGCAGGAATGGCCGGTCGGCCTGAAACACCTCCCGGTTTAAGTTGAGGGAGCGGCCAACAGCCACGACGGCGGTCGCTGCTGCCGCCTCGCTGCCCTCCTCGTTCACCTGGAGACCACAAAGCACATTGTTCAGGGTCCTGTGGACCAGACCGGTCTCAGGTCCTGACTCTGGGTCAGGGTGTCAGGTCTGACCCTGGGTCAGGGTCTCAGGTCTGAACCACCTGTGCATCAGTGACTGACCTCCAGGAAGGCTTTATGGAAGGCGTCTGAGATGTGGAGACCTTCACTTCCGTCCTCTAGCATCCCTGAAACAAACAAACAAACAATCAAACAAACAAACAAAGATAAATAGAAACATTCAACACAAACAGCAATACACATAAAAGCTCAGATCAAGAAAACAAAGATGAACGAATAATAATAAACTTTTATATCAGAAAAATGTAAATGTGAAGGTTTTGAGTAAAAAAAAAACAGGATTCAACCAGCAACCTGAACGCCCCATGCTCATTTCATTTCCTGAACGCCCACGCTGTCCTTTGAGTACCTGAACGTCCCACGCTGTCCTTTGAGTACCTGAACGCCCCACGCTGTCCTTTGAGTACCTGAACGCCCCACTCTGTTCTTTGAGTACCTGAATGCCCCACGCTCCTTCTAGAACCTGAACGCCCCACGCTCTCCTTCTAGAACCTGAAGGCCCCACTCTGTCCTTTGAGTACCTGAACGCCCCACTCTGTCCTTTGAGACTGAATCGTGAAGGTCTTCTTTTAGAGCCTCTAGCTGGAAGGTGTTGATTGTTAAAATATTGTTATGTTAAGTTATTAATATGTTATGAAATATTGATGATGAACGTGGAACCCGTCGAGGAACTTCCCAAACACTAATGGATGATGAAGATCACCTGGCAGACTGGCCCTCTCAGAGCTGAACAGGTCCGTCAGTCCCATGTCCTGCAGCTTCTCCTTCAAATTGAAGCTGTCCTCCAGCCTGAAGCGAGGCACGTGGACCGCCACCGAGGTCTCCGTCATCTCATCCAACCAGGACGTCAGTTTGTTCAGGTCCAGACTCTCCTCCACCTGCACACACAACGCCACACATTTAAACACAAAACACTAATACACACCATCATCATCATCATCATCATCATCTCATTTTTAGATAACTGACAGTCACCACGATGCTGTTTGTTCATGTTAAGTCATAATCTGGTTCTTTGATAGAAAAATGTAAAAAGATAAACCTGTTAACTAATAAACCCGTTAACTAATATAACTGTTAACTAATAGACCTGTTGACTAATAGAACAATAAACATGTGAACTAATACAACAAATAAACCTGTTAACCAATAAACTAATTGACCTGTTGACTAATATAACTAATAAACCTGTTAACTAATAAACCTGTTAACTAATATAACTCTTAACTAAGATAACTCTTAACTAATAACACTAATACACATGTTAACTAATAAACCTGTTAACTAATATAACTCTTAACTAAGATAACTCTTAACTAATAACACTAATACACATGTTAACTAATAAACCTGTTAACTAATAAACATGTCAACTAATATAACTGTTAACTAATAAACCTGTTAAATAATAAACCTGTTAACTAACATAACTAATAAACCTGTTAACTAATATAGCTAATAAAGCTATTAACCAATAGACCTGTTAACTAATATAACTTAAGTAATAAACCTGTTAACTAATATAACTAATAAAACTGTTAACTAATAAACATGTTAACTAATATAACTAATTAACCTATTAACTACTAAACATGTTAACAAATATAACTGTTAACCAATAGACCTGTTCACTTATAAACCTGTTGACTAATATGACTAATAGACCTGTTGACTAATATGACTAATAGACCTGTTCACTAATATGACTAATAGACCTGTTGACTAACATGACTAATAGACATGTTCACTAATATGACTAATAGACATGTTCACTAATGTAACTAATGCACCTGTTGACTAATATAAATAATAAACCTGTTAACTAATAACCGTTTAATGAATATAACTAATAAACCTGTTAACTAATAACCGTTTAATGAATATAACTAATAAACCTGTTAACTAATATAACTAATAAACCTGTTAACTAATTGAACTAATATAACTGTTAACACTGCGTGACGTTGCCTTGTGTGTCCGGCGTGTGTCGTATCAGAAGCATTGATGAAATGAAGGCAAACCAGATGAGGACCTGAGGACCAGAGGAGGACCGATCAGTTACCTCACTCAGTTCTTACCTTACTCAGTGTGGTGTCTTTGCTCGGCAGGATGATCACCATGGTGATGTCGTCTCCGCGGTACGGCATCTCCAGCAGCTGCACCTGGTCATTGGGATAGTACCGGTACCTGAACCTGGTCTCCTGGTACATCATGTTGACAGAGCAGGACCGACTCCCGCTGACGTGGAAGTCTGACACATACGCGTTGTATTTGTTGAACTTGTTCTTCCACTGACCCTGAGAGAGGAGAGTGTTGGTCAGAGACACTGAATAATAATCATTTCATTATTTCACAAACTACAGGACGACTGCAGCTCCTGAACTCTGTGATTAAGTTGTGGTAGTCTGTGTTACCGGCGTAACCAGTGTTCCTTTTTCAGTGTTAAGTCACCGGCGTTGTGCTACCGGCGTTGCACTACCGGGGCTGCGCTACTGGGGCCTATTTGGTAGTATTTCAAATTTAAACCCAATGCTAACAGGGAACTTGGTAACATGAATGATGCAATCTGAGAACATTTAGGATGAAGCCGCGTGGCGGATGGAACAAAAGCATCGACACCAAAGTTAAAGATCAAAGTAAGAGCTCTACAGATTTAATCTGGGTTAGGGTCACAAGTTTATTAACCAGTGGGAAAATGTTCTCACGGTGGCGTCCCTCATGCAGACCATGTCCTGCTTCATATTTCTGAATATAAACAAAGTGAGTATCTTTCTTTTCAAACATTGAATTGGGGACCAGCAGGGACCTGAAACACCAGAACCAGGCTCCATAGCTTCAGGTGTGAATGAGGTACCAACTCAGGTACCTTGAAGTAGATTGTGTTGACGAGGACCAGGATGGTGTTGGAGTCCAGTGCTCCCACTGGCAGCGTGTCCTGGATCAGGTTCTCCGTCTTGTTGGAGATCCAGTTGTTGATAGTGACCCGGGCCTTCTCCGGGTTCTCCTGCAGCACAGAACCGGGGTTATAAGTATAACCTCTGTCAGATACCTGAGTCTTTAAGGTCTGAACCCTGAGTGGTTCAGGTTATAGGGAGGTGAAGCGGACTCGTTTTGGACCCCAACGTTACCTTGAAGTTGAGAGGCATCAGCTTGGCCCCGTACACTGTCTCACTGATGTTCTGGTATGTCTCGTTGAAGACCAGAGACTTGTCTCCGAACAGCCGGTTAGCGGAGATCAGCTCCGTGGTCTCGTCCTTCTTTCTGTACAGACGACAGTTGAGTTTGGCGAAGAAGAAGTGGACCTGATCCGAGGTCTTCTCTTTGATGGAGTCAAACTCAAACACCTGAAGACAGAAACACAGACAGGTTTTTAATCTGCTGCAGGGAGACAACGATTGTAGCTTTCTCTGTGAGCCTAATAATAATAATAAAGACCTCCATGATCTGCTGTAGCGTCTGGTTGCAGGCTCCCAGCTTGGTCATGGCGAAGGCGGTGGAGATGCTGATGGGGGACATGAAGATGTTGGCCTCGGGGGCCTTGCTGAGGGCCAGCTGTTTGTACAGCGACAGAGCGAAGCGGCTGTTGGCCTTGGACAGCTCCCAGACTCGGGGGTTGGTGGACTCGGGGACCGGATCGGGCTCCAGGGCTGGGCCCTCACCGGCCTCTGCCTCAGGGTGGGCCTCTGGGTCGGGGCTGCGGTAGATGCAGCGCGGCTCCAGAGGAAGGTCTCTGGGTTTGGCGCTGCAGATGTCCGGATGGAAGGCGAAGGAGACGAGGGGCAGGAACGCCAGAACCAACAGCCAATCAGCAGCCCTCATTCTGCACAGAGAGCCAATCAGAGGAGAGCTTAGATCACAGTTCTATTAAAGAGCATTTTCTTTTATTTATTGTTTCTATTTCATTTGCTGCCTCGTGTGAAGCGCTTTGTAGAAGATTTATTATTATTATTAGTTTTTCTGACATAAGGTCGACAATGAATCCCAGAAGTGTAAAAAGTTTAAATGTGTTGTTTTTTAAGAGCGAACTGAGAACAAGAAACACAAATAAAAAGAGTCGTGAACAACTTCAGAAGATAAAGATTTAAAACCAGACACTCACACCAGACTCCGTTTAAAAAATAACAGTTTAGTTTTAGACAAATATTACGAGATCATTGATTATTTTCTCATGATTCAGAAAAACGTTTCTTCAGTTAGATTTCAACATCAACAGATTCAACAACACTTACACTTTTAGCTTCAAAGCTTTCAGTTTAATTTAACATTAATAATCATTAACAGACTGAAATGTCATGAAAAATGTTTTTTGTATTCTGATTTTGTTCTAAATCTTTGAGAGAAATTAAACTCAGATTTGAAAAATATTGTTCTTTTATAGTAAACATGAGAAAAGAGAAAACGGGGAATCAAACTCATTCGACCAGGAGATCAATAACTTCTCTGTCTCAGGATTAAAGACGATGAACGAGGATCCATCAGGAATATTAGTTGTTAAACTCTTACCTGAACAGGTAACAGTCGAGGTAACGGTCGAGGTAACGGTCCAGACGGTCGAGTCTGTGAGACGGTGAGATGTGTGAGGTTTGAACTGAACTCAGGTCAGTGTCCTGCAGAGCGCTCAAACATCACAGCAACCTTTGAGACATCGATCGTCTGTTGGTCAACATGTGGACACAAAGATCACCGATCAATAACTGTGATGCTGCAGGACATAAACATGCAACAAGCTTTAGGACGATGAGTTAATCTAGATCATTCATGATAATGTTTAGATCTTTGTGTCTGTGTGTAGTCAAGATACACGTCCCATTAAAACCACAATGTTTGATCCCATTACAGTATAAAATCAATGATTCTACTATATCAGACTTTAAATCTAGAGCTTCTAAACTGTACTTTATACTATTTTCCACTAGATTGATCCATTTAGTGGATAATACATGTTATTCTCCTGGTGTCCACTAGAGGCATCACTGCTGTATTATAGAGATAATACATGTTATTCTC